CTGACTGTTTAATTTTGATAAACAATAGACCTTATTTACATAACAATGAATACACTAGAGAAAATTAACATATTATATTGTTATGCAAATACTCTATGCCAGTTTTTTTTTTGCAAAGAACACTGTATTTTGGTTACAATAAATCAATTGGTTATCTGTGTTTTTCAAACTTGTATACTGTAAAATATTTTATTTTAGCTGGAACTAATTTTCACTAAAAAGAGTTTTTGTATGTTTTGTATGAAATTTATTCTCCCTGATTTTTGACGAGTTGAATGTTAAATATAGGAAAAAATTTATATTCGCTGGATTTTATTTTCACTGAATCATTCCTTCAGTGAAAATAGCAAAAATTAATTCTAAGCGAAAATTAACCATTTTGGGATCACGACCAAAATCAGTTTTGCCTTGTGTTGTATATTAAATTAAAAGATTGTAAAAAGCAGTTACACAAGATTTTTTTTTATAAAATAAAAACCGCTGTAAGAAGTACTATCTATTCTGGTGAAGCTGGTACAATAATCATTGGTATTATGTTTTTTATGAATATTAATGTGACAAATACCTGCTGGCAGCGTTGTGACCTTGTACTACTTTCTGTGTACACGTGGAGACCTGTATTTCCATTTGTCATACATAATCCATGCTTCCGTTTTACAGCGTATAACGAGTCCTAACTCGTTTTAAAAAAACGAAAATGAAGAAATGAAAAAGCCTACTGATACTTGATGGTGATGGATTATATGACAATTTCCTGTCATTGGTTTTTTTTTTTTCAATCCTTAATAAAGTACAGTTGGCATTTAAATTGGGTCATTTAATCACTTAGCTCCCTGACACCTTTGTCTAATCCGCCAATATTCATGCTTCAAACTGTTTCCTCTCCCAACTTACAGGAAGTGATATGTTAATTGCTAGAAGTCATTTAAAAATGTTATTTTCACTTCTTTGATTAAGCTTTAACAATAAACAAATAAATAAATAATATAACATATAAATAAATAAAATCAGGGTAGTATGATATTAGTAATTTATTGATTTTCATAAAGACCTTATTTTCGGTCATGTGATCTGTGATAAGGTAATATTGAAAACTTGCTTATAAATAGATAACGGAAGTTTAATTACCATATTCGTTAGGACTTTTTTTCATTCATGCAAAATTAATTACAAGAAACTTGTTTATTTATTTGCAGAATAATGTACCAGACAGTAGTGAACAAAAAGAAAATGAAGATGAGATCAAAAGTTCTTTGCGGCAGATGATAACTGTGGATAGTGGAAGTGATGGAGATGGTGACAAAGAGTCGGTGAACAGTAGTCTGACGAGTAACAGCAGATCTGCAGTATCCCCGTCCAGCACCACATCCTCCCCTTCCGGTAAGGAGTTGTACAGTGTATATGATTGTGAATGGTTGCATACTGCCTGTAAGGCTGAGAAAAAAAATATCTCTGTTTCTCCTTTCTGCGCGCATCATTTTGAACTATGCGCCTCAGACGTTTTTTCTTCTTCTAAAGCATTGCAAAATGCGCTTGTACTCGCACTTCTCTCAAATTTCCCCCATTTTAGCTCAGTATTAAAAAAAAAAAAAAATCATTTTACAATTTAGATGACACGAGAAACAAAGAATTTTTTTCTCCTGGCCTAAACTGTATTATTTGATACAAGTATTTTGTTTTACTGTTTGACAATAATTGAGTTGTTGAGGATGTGTGCCTGAATGCAATATAACGTATGTACCAATTTAAAATTAATGTGATTCTACTTACTTTCAAATTGTACCTTCAAGATTGGGAATTATTGCACCTTGCAACTACCTGGTATAATTAACCTTTTCACCACCAGACTTTCTCGCCCAAATCTTTCTGTACTTTTTTCTTATATTCTTCAATATTTCTGGAAATGAACCCTAATTTTGGAGCCAACAGACACAATTTGAGTCAATTTTCTGTTCTGTAAACAGGACTATTTGTGAATTTGTGATGAAAAGAGGAAACTGATGGTAAAAAGGTTAACACATCATTATGAAATATTTATAGTGAATGTAAATAGAGAATATTTGTAACATGAATTAATATTTTGTGTGCTTATGTAGAATTGATAATTTATACGCCCAATATATACACCGCAATGGCATACATAGTACCGGTATGTATGTGAGCCGACTTCCACTGTGAGTGTATATGAACAGCGCCCTCATTTTTGAAAATTGAAATTTCTCTTTGATGCCACTAGAGGGTGAAATCTAAGTCAAGAATATTTCCTACTATACCAGTACTTATCACTTAAGAATTATTTTTAAATAGTGATATTTCTACTGTTTAAAATGTATTGTGACTAAATTGTGAGATGTGTGTGGCTGCTACAGCACACTCTTGTACTACCAGCAGTTTTTACAGCCATCTTGTTAGTGAGTTTACTTGGTGTTCAATAAAATAAAAAGACAAATAATTTACCAAACAGGAAAACAAATGACTCGCGCATCGCCAAACTGTAACAGAAATAAGTGTTTTATATTGTATATTGTTAAAATACTTGCGTGCAAGTTGTTGGATTTGCGGCCTCAATACCAGTAAACATTCTGCTATCTTGTAAATTTAGTGTGCATCCTGCTATCTTTGTGTGCATCTTGCTGTCTTGGTGTGCATCATGTTATCTTGGTGTGCATCATGTTATCTTGGTGTGCATCCTGTTATCTTGGTGTGCATCCTGTTATCTTGGTGTGCATAATGCAGTCTTGGTGTGCATCCTGCTATCTTGGTGTGCATCATGCAGTCTTGGTGTGCATCATGCAGTCTTGGTGTGCATCATGCAGTCTTGGTGTGCATCATGCAGTCTTGGTGTGCATCATGCAGTCTTGGTGTGCATCATGCAGTCTTGGTGTGCATATTGTTATCTTGGTGTGCATCCTGTTATCTTGGTGTGCATCATGCAGTCTTGATGTGCATCTTGCTATCTTGGTGTGCATCCTGTTATCTTGGTGTGCATCCATTCCTGTTTTCTTGGTGTGCATGTCGATCATGCTATCTTTGTGTGCATCATGCAGTCTTGGTGTGCATCATGCATTCTTGGTGTGCATCATGCTTTCTTGGTGTGCATCATGCATTCTTGGTGTGCATCATGCTATCTTGGTGTGAATCATGCTATCTTGGTGTGCATCATGCAATCTTGGTGTGCATCATGCAATCTTGGTGTGCATCATGCAATCTTGGTGTGCATCATGCAATCTTGGTGTGCATCATGCAATCTTGGTGTGCATCATGCAGTCTTGGTGTGCATCATGCAGTCTTGGTGTGCATCATGCAGTCTTGGTGTGCATCATGCAGTCTTGGTGTGCATCATGCAGTCTTGGTGTGCATATTGTTATCTTGGTGTGCATATTGTTATCTTGGTGTGCATATTGTTATCTTGGTGTGCATCCTGTTATCTTGGTGTGCATCATGCAGTCTTGGTGTGCATCTTGCTATCTTGGTGTGCATCCTGCTATCTTGGTGTGCATCCATTCCTGTTTTCTTGGTGTGCATGTCGATCATGCTATCTTTGTGTGCATCATGCAGTCTTGGTGCGTGCCCTGCCATCTTGGTGCATGCTCTGCTGCCTTGGTGTGCGCCCTGTCGCCTTGGTGTGCGCCCTGCCGTCTTGGTGTATGGTCAGCCAGCTTGGTGTGCGGTCTGCCATCTTGGTGTGCGGTTGGCCAGCTTGGTGTGCGGTTGGCCAGCTTGGTGTGCGGTTGGCCAGCTTGGTGTGCGGTTGGCCAGCTTGGTGTGCGGTTGGCCAGCTTGGTGTGCGGTTGGCCAGCTTGGTGTGCGGTTGGCCAGCTTAGTGTGCGGTTGGCCAGCTTAGTGTGCAGTTGGCCAGCTTAGTGTGCAGTCGGCCAGCTTGGTGTGCAGTCGGCCAGCTTGGTGTGCGGTCAGGCCATCTTGGTGTGCGG